CCACCCCACCGCACTCACCCCTATAGGATACAACGCATTGAGCAGATCGAACGCTTGCTCTATCTTCATGCCCACTATCAAACGCCTCAACTGCACATCAAATGGTATCGGCACCAACCCATACACCGACCCAGATGCCGTACCCAAACAACATAGACAAACATGTCTCTGAAAAAATAGCAACGACAACTCCATCATCATCAATCACAGTCACCTTTGCTCTCTCAATACACTCTAAACAGTCTTCCACATCTAGGAGTTTGATCGTATATTCATTTTCATATGAACAATAATGGTATTTCGATATAGCGGACTCTCCGCACTCCTACCGCTCCGAACTGAACTCATAATGTATTCGATAAAAACACCCCTTCCCCCAAGACCATCCACATAAGCAACTACTCCAAACTACTATACCACACTTCTTCCAATTTATAATCACACAAAGGACGCATCTACCATTCCCATCATATGGCCGTACCTTCTCTCGATCCGTATCTTCCACAGTAGCATCCTCCACCACAGCAGGGGAGGCCCCCAACGCCATGACCGGCTCCGGAAGAGTCAACGATTGCACCAGCTTCTGGTCCCAAATAGAATATATATCGACCGTGCCATCCAACGGTGATGCACTGATGATAAACCTGACATACATCCCCGGTTCGAATCCCACCAACGACACTTTATTCCATTTACGATCACTCTCCAAAAATCTTCACAGTGCGTTACACATCCCCCCCAACAATACCACCTTCCCAGTAGGCATAACTCCACTCCTTGCGGATACTGAATATTATTACGAGCCGCCGGATGAGGCACTTCACCTAAAACGTATCATCATTTCCCATCAGTACTATTTTCTGGGCGAGCGCTTTTAACATCACCTTGACTCTGCTCTTTCAGTCCCGGCAAACTTATGAAGATACCCAAACCATCTTGACCGATTAATAATACCTAAAATCTCTTCGTAACAACAACATTCGTAGTTAATGAGCAAACTCCTGAGCTACCACCCCCACGAACACTATTGGGACCCCTTGGAAAAACGGAATATTAATGGTAGTTCGTAATACATCCTCAACACATTGCAGATTCCTATACGACAGAGCATTTCCCATCCCCCCAACCTACAGACCTAAAATACTCCCAAAAATTACTACCTCGTGAGCCTCCGGAATCAGCGTCAAATTAGTCGGCCCATCAATCGGACACAATTCTCGTACCACACCATCTACACTTGATACCGCCACATACGACGATCCACTGCGACTCGATCGACCTAAGCACCAACGCTATCACGCACAACACAGCATTCTGATAGCCACTAGACGAGACCCCATAACAATCACTTAGCGTTAAGTTAGATGAATCAAACGATCATTGCTACTCCCCAGTTAACGTACTACCTCCAGCCAACACTATCCATCCCTGCCACCATACCACACCACTTGGAACCTCATTCATGCCGTTCACTTCTGATATCATACTCGTGCTACTTCCAGATGCAGCATTGATGTAACCGCCAGAGGATACGGAGTAGGAGTATCTAATGAGAGAGCGCACAGCGAAGGATATCTTATCTCATGGACGCGGCAAACTGAGGCGTTAGTCACAGGACCACTAGAAGTAATAGTAATGCTAGTCACAGGACCACTAAAAGTAGTAGTAATGCTAGTCACAGGACCACTAGAAGTAATAGTAATGCTAGTCACAGAACCACTAGAAGTAATAGTAATGCTAGTCACAGGACCACTAGAAGTAATAGTAATGCTAGTCACAGGACCACTAGAAGTAATAGTAATGCTAGTCACAGGACCACTAGAAGTAATAGTAATGCTAGTCACAGGACCACTAGAAGTAATAGTAATGCTAGTCACAGAACCACTAGTACTAGTAGTAACTTCTCCCAAATGCTACATAAGTATCTTCCCTTTAGTGGTGCATACAACCACATCTGGTAAGCTCTCATCAGAAGATCCTCTCTGAGGCGCCGCGCACTTCACCGATCGACACAATATCGTTCCAGACGTGTTCAGTGTCGATGGCAATAAATAAAGATTGCCGCTACTTAACGCCAGAATGTATCCCCCAGAACCCGCCGTATCTACACCAGTAGACAGAATAAACGATCTACTGACAAGCACTACCCTCTCGAGTATTATACAGTACGCGCCACCTCGAAACGCGCGAACTGGGTGGGCACTTTTTTCTTCCATTTTGACGAATTTCGACCTAATTCTTTCACCATTGAGCTGTCATGCTTCATTACCCACAAACCCGAAAATACAGGGTGGTGTAATACACGGAGTTTTCCCATGCAACCGATTTGGCATTCCACACACCGATAGGAAAAGCCCGACGAGAGCTTTTGATAATAACTTTGTTAATCACCTGTCACGTATCGCGAAATTACGAGAGGTGACCTCTTTTTTACACTACCCAGTAATTACCCAAAATACATAGATTTGCATCAGTGTTGAAGGAATATATATTTGCTTTCTCAGCTGAGCTCAGGAATTTCCTCACCAACTGTGAGAGTATATATACAAATTCGCATAGAAGTGCTCAGAAACCAGAAATTTCCTCAGAATTTCCATATTGCCGCCACACATGTAGTTGACCATGTGCATATTCTCCACCCATGAAAATTTCAATCTTAGGAAGTTCTACTTTCCTCCCACATCTACAATTCCAATCATCGGATTTTCCATTCAAGACGATTACCTACTTTTAGTTTCGCACGGCAGTATATCATCTATCGATCGCTTCGTGGACATACCAATTTTAGCAGTAATTATCGCTACTATTTCCCCAGTGCCAGGCGATGCTGATACGAAGTACCTTCCTGTGAAAATAAAGAGGGTTCGTCAACTGGGAGAGGGTCACTACCGCTCTAGGAGGCCGCTTTTATAACCAACGTAGATGACTGAGGCCTGAAGGATGCACTCACTGGGAATCGAACCCACGTCGAGCGGATGAAGGTATTCTAGGAATGCATTTCCCCTCCTGAGTAAACGATCCCTATGGTCTAACGCATGCCGTCACGAGTGGTGACCCATTCGACATTGCAAACGATAAACCAATTCTGACTGTGAACTAAACTCCTATCAACAGAGGCACTTCCTCCAAAAGAGGAAACGTACTACTTTTTTGGGAATAATAAATTTTCAACACTAGCACAAAACGAATAGTGAAAATAAAAAAAACCATCTATGTTGATTTTGCGAGAAGAAATACTCCAATATTTCCTCCAAGAAAACCCGGGTGCAGGGTCCGATAGGGCTACCTATTACTACCTGAGGACTGCACATGGCAGTTATGGGATCTCCTACACGACTGCCCTGTATTAAACCAAAGAGACGGACGGCTGATGATGATTCTGAAGCATCGGCGTTCATTCTTATAGAAAAAATAGGTAATCTACAATCAAATGTACAGTAGCATCAAAGGGTAACCTATCATCAAATATACAGTAGCATCAAAGGGTAACCTATCATCAAATACACAGTAGCATCAAAGGGTAACCTATCATCAAATATACAGTAGCATCAAAGGGTAACCTACCATCAAATACACAGTAGCATCAAAGGGTAACCTATCATCAAATATTTATAATGCTCTGTGACGACCCGGGAAGGCGGACCTAATATCGCACGTACTTTCGTTCGTTTTAATCAGCGCATCTTCAGCTGGAGCGCGCCCGGCATATCTAACGGTTTCGAATCGAAACCATTGGGTCCAGCCACTTTTATACCAAACCACTTTTGAACCAAATCGAGTGGCGCTCGCCCCCATTCAGAAAACCACCCGTCAGGAGGGCTGTCGACGTAATAGTAATCTCTTTGCGTTCCTCTCCATGCCAGTGGATGGCCATTGGGGTTGTTACCTGCTAGTTCTCGCGAGCAGAAGGAAGGTGTAACCGCTTCTTATATACGTGAATTAGGGCTGGTACTGTGCCGTCAAACGAGCTGCAATCGACATCACACCACTGGAGAACTTTTGCTGAAACTCATATCATCCATCGTACACCAACTATAAGACAAACGAGAGATATTCAATAAATATCCGTCGAACTTACACTGTGTTCTGCTGAGTGAAGACAATGAGTTCGGTGAAATACATGCATAAGAGCGACTACTGTAGAAAACTCAACTGCACGCTTGCATGGAAATACACTTGCTAGGAAATTAAAAGCGATGCCTGTCGCTTGAGTCAACTTAAAAATACTTGCTACCTAAGATGGTGTACTCAAAATATTTAGGAACACTTGACAGCGACGACAGTTGTCACCTCGACGAATTCGATATACATCTCGTACGCGTAGTACTCGGTAATCATTTGAGAATTCATCTCACGTAGGAAGGTGGTCAAATTATTATCAGGATTGACCAGAATTACTTCCCTCTCGTTCAAATTATATTCAGAGTGGAAGTACTGACCAGCCAAGTAGATAGAGACTGAATAAGTGTCGAATAACAACTCCAAATATCCAAACGGCGAATCACCACACCACGTTCCGACGATACCATCGGTTGGAACGGTAGTATTATGAGGAGCAGTAGTATCAACAACCTCAGTGGTGTCCACATACTCGGTGGTGTCAACAGCCTCAGTGGTATCAACAGCCTCAGTGGTATCAACAACCTCAGTGGTATCAACAACCTCAGTGGTATCAACAACCTCAGTGGTATCAACAACCTCAGTGGTATCAACAACCTCAGTGGTGTCGACATATTCAGTGGTGTTAGATATAGGATATTCGGTGGTCACGGGAGTAGGACCAACGGTCACCATATGACATGGGTAGGGCTCTCCGACACATTCCTCGTCGCCACTGGCGTGACACAGGCTGCCATCCTCCTTGACGATGATGCCAAAACACACTGGAGGGTCCTGCCAAAACTTACAGTATGATCCCCAGGAAGAATCCTTACAACCAACCATACCATCGCATACTTCCTGACAAGTTGTGTCAGGATACTCGTGACAGAGGACGGGTTTCAGAACAGAGTCGTCGCAATCAGCGTTGTACTCAGAGGCTGGCTGGAAGCATTTACCCTCATCCTTATGGTAAAGGCCGAAGCAGACACCATTGTTTTTACAGTAAGACTCAGAGCAACCCACAGTCTGCGCACACGAGTTCTCACAGTACTGCCCAATAGGCTCAGCCTCGTCGGCTGTGCGACCGGACATACCAGACGAAGTAACATTCAGGATAGCGAGGATGGCAGTACGCATGAAGGGCGACTGATGAAAACCTACACAATCAATACTCGAGTGACTCAAGCTACAATCAGTCATGTGAGAGAGGTACCCTTTTTTTGTGGAAACAGAATTATCCACGTTTGACATGGTAAATTATACGAGTCACAAGTGAAACGAGACAGCCTCTCTTGAGTCACAAGAGAGGTATCCTGGATGAGCTTCAACAGCACGCAAGTACTCGAAAAACCGTCGATCGGATCTTTCCGTTACGAGTGTCCTCCGCTCGCCCGATTGTGTCTGAGTCCCGATCGAAGTCACTGTATATACATTCGACGATGTACCCCTGAGTAATCCCTTTGTAGAAAGTCATGGTAGCTATTAAGAGACGGATTGAGCCCGAGACCCATTGCATGTACGGACGTCATACCCATCCAGATCATTTTGGGTCGGAAGGATGCTATTGAAGCGGCACTTTCAATGAAGTGGCCCTTCTGCCCTACATGCTGTGACAGACTATATCAGAATCGCCATATGTACTGTACGCAACATTGGTTTTCGCCCTCATAAATACCGTGGCATGCCATGGACAGCAACATGGATCAAATAACATGAAAGAAATACTGGGAAAGATGAGCTAAGTTCAATATATGGTGAAGCAGTCATCAGGCTCTGACTTGAGAACACAACTTAGTTTCCGACCAACACCTTGAGATCGGCAGCCAATCGTCGACTCACTGCGTCGTTCAGTGCACCTACGTCCTCTCAAGCGACTATTATCATTCCAGCTGTATCAGGCCGGACCTTAGCAAGTTTCTCCCGGGAGAACGGCCAAACTCTCGGCCATTTTGGTTTGAGTCCACACCATACCCCCGAGAATGAAGCTCGTTGGGTTGATCTACGCATTGGCCGAGTCGAGAAAACTTTGTCACCGCGCCACGAAATCAACTCTGTTCCAACCCTTGCATTCTCAATCGCTCGCTTTTGTTTGATGTAATAGTCAGACATGAGACACTGCGTCGAGCTGATCCTCTTTTCAGAATCTTTCGCGAGCATCCGTCTGACAAGATCTGCCAGGTCGGCATCGAATCGCCGCATAACTGCAGCATGGAAATTCAGAGGCTTCGAGAAATCATTCAACCAATGGAAATATGCAAGTAATCGATTATGACTTCCAGCGAAGGATGCCAGCACCTCTGCAGTAGGGCATATACCTAAAAACCGAGCAAGATTCGAAGTTCTCCACCGTCGATTGACTCTTTCAAGCGACCTTGACCGGGAGGACTTCCAGATCGGCTTCACTATCTTACCGCTAAAGACCTCGCAAATGGTCACACCGAGGCTCCAGATGTCCATCTTTCGAGAGGCCACGACTTGGGGAGGCCTTCCCCCTCCCAACCTCATATTGGACATGAATGCGACTATCCCTTTGGCTAACTCTGGGGAACAGTAACTGTGAAGTGAGAGGAATTTCTCCAACGAGACGCTTTTCAGGCCAGATCAGAATGAAGAGTGCACTCACGACATATGTCAACTCACATAACGCGATGCGATCCACTGACCTCACCAAGGACATAGACTTACGCAGGCGTGAAAGCAAGCTGACTACCGTCAGGGTTGAGGACGCTGTCAGCTCTCAAAGCTCCATCGAAGTCTATGACTTTCAGTTCGTTCTGTTTGGTCAACATCACATTACCCGGCTTCAGGTCCAGATGTACCTTATAAGATGTGAAGTCAGAAACACGAGCATAATCATCGCGGATGAACTCATTGGAGATTTTTAGGAATCGAAAATTTCGACTAGAAAGCCGCAATAGGGGAAAGCCCTCGTCTGAGTGCTTTCTTCCCACCAGGCCCTTAGAATGAACAGCATATGTCATCTCCAGCAGAGACACCACCAACTGACCGAGCTGGGCTCTAGAGAATGCTGGACCACAGTTTTTGTTAGTGAAGCCCTGTAATGACGAATGAGCGTACCTAACGATATCAGCATCGATCGGGGCAATCAGTTTCCTCTGGAGGATGCAGGAATTCACAGAGCTTAGGCCAGGGTGATTACTAATCACAAGTAAGCCCTCAAGAAGGTTGAATGACCTAACTTCCTCACCCACCGTGCTTGAAGGACTAACGTTGAAGCTTTGAGGGTTTTCTACTTGTGGGCGAGTCTGCGAGATTGGGTAAACTCACTGCTTCTCAGTTTTAGCTTCTCGTCTTAGTTTTCAAGTTTATTAACGTTTTGTTTTCAGTAGTGAGTTTATTTGAATTCGATGCCGAGCGATTCCCATCTCACGCCGTTTTTAAATAGTCCTTCAACGTGACGCATCCCAGCTCAAACACAGTGTACAGCTCTCCATCAGCAGGGTCGGGTCCGGGGGAATCATTCCTGCAGTGGTATCGAAATCGATCGATCGATTTGTCTTACTCATCGACTGAGTATGCCATCATGGGTAGCACTAGATCGCTCAATTTCAAACTTCCAGAGCTTTTCCTTGAAGGCGGAGTACTTGCGTGCTGCACAAATTGCACGCATGAACAAAAGATACCAGGCCGGCCTCCCTCTGAACTCACTGCAGCTTCTACCGCCGGAAGAGATGCATCCCGAGAACTCATCACTAAGGGTATCGGTGCAGCAATTTCTCCCTGAGCATGAACCTCGTCTTCGAGTAAAAACGACATGACATTTATGCTCACCTTGAAGATGGTCATGTTTCGAACCTGGTTGGTAAATCGTCTCACAGTTTCGTCGTAACTCCCTACATCCCTAGCCTGATCGAGTAGGTCCTCTAATACGACGTCGTTTTAGATGCAACTTCTCTTCAGCGGAAAACAATATTTTCTGATATTTTCAAAATATCGATATTATACACAGTCGATGAACTTTGCAAAGCCCAAAACAGTTCACTGATGGCAAGGACCAGATTGTGGTTATGGACGATGAGCCTACTGTGTGGTAGGTTTTTATGGCAACTTCTTTCCGTTCGACGAGGTCGTAACCTCTCCGGACAAGAGCAAAGCTTCCTTTGCCGATCACTTTACCGATCCCGAGGAAATATCTATAACGAACGCGACCTTCACCGCGCCACGAAATTCGAGAAGGTATTTCATTGTGACCTGTTGAGGATGAATCGTTTCTCGGCTATTTTCCACTCATGTGGTAGACTATCTGAAATGCTTTGTTCAGATTGGTCCCGAACGTCATACGCCTCGAAACTAGATTCAGTAGATGTCATCGTATCGATGCTGTTTCGTAGTTTCTCCGACGAGGTAGCGCGCATAGTGAAAACAGTAAATTCTCAAGCAAATCAATTATGAACATGTCGACAGACAACCGCAATGCAACGCCACAGCATTATATCATTGAAACTCAGAAAACTAGAAATGCCGAAGTAGTCTGATTCGGTGGGTCGGGTAGCTCACTAACATTCATCAGGCTCACTCTCTACGTAGTCCGTGTTGATCATCACGCGTCTCTCGAGATAGTTGGGATACAACCAGAGTTTGTTAATTTCAATTCAGGATGCGACTTGACCATGCCGCAATCCATAGCAGGCAGCCAAACTCCCAATGATGAAATTTCAATGCGCAATCTACGGACTCCCGATGATTGCAGGTAGGCCATCAACGAAAGTCCGTAGATCGAGAATTTGGAGAAATAGTCTTCATCACATCGTTGAGATGGACCGATAACTTAGCAACCCCGATACGTATATCCACTCCTCAGGGATGATCTACTGTCGTTGAACGGTCACGGGCAGCATCTGACGGTGACGAGGTGTCCAGAAACTCTGATTTGACTCGATTCTGACTCAGCAGAATAAGTTGTATAAGAATATATCATTATCTATGCTGGAGTATTCTGGACACCGCATCACCGTCAGATCTTACCAATGTCGTACATAAACCTGCAGAAATACAAAATGCGGGTCTCGGGGTTCGAACCTGCGACTTACCCAGCATGTATAAAGATTGACCAAGGCAACACGATGTATGTAGTAGAAACAATTAAAGTGAGCGACCACACAAGGCCACCTCGCTCAATGAAACCCGACACGACGAGGATGATGCATACCGTGGAGCACTTCTCCGCTGTGCTCGAGGCGAGACGATTCCAACATGAGACCTATGGATTTGAGACGCCTTTCCTTACGTGTTGAGTCCAATGTCTGCTAAACCTACCGCTTGGCATCATAAGCAACTTCCAATCGAGTGACTGAAGCCCTAATACATTCACTTATAATATACACTTATTATTGGTAATATACGTATATTCTTTGGTATTATTCTTATCTATGAAGACTTTATATTTATATTGTGTAATTAATAAAATTCCCTCATAGGCTGTCGGCGTCGAAATACGGCATTCCCCGCTCAACAAACAGATCCAATTGATCCTCCGTGATATACATCAATACTATTCTAACTGTGGCGTACTGTCGGCGTCGAACGATCACACAGCCGATCGATCGATAGACAGTTGTAAAAGGGAGCACTCAGCCCGTGGTATCCGAAACCAAACATCGTTAGTTCAGTTAGTAAACTGCCACTAAAAGCGACGAGTTGAAGGGCCTTAACAACAGTGGGACGCCAGAATGTTTACGATGAAATGATGCAGCAACTTAATACGACCAAGCAACGATCAAACACCTTCACTGTTATCTGACTCGAACGACGATACAGCTGTGTGAAACGACTCGCTGTCATCCGTCTCAGTGGCGACGTCTCTTCGCTCGAGAGGTTCCTCACCGTCCTTTTCCCCATTGCAGGGTGGGCTCGGCGGCGGGGTACTCGACACAGACGATATGTTGTTGACAATGTCATAGACATCCTCCTCCCAGAAAGCTTCCTGACGCTCTTCCATCTCGAGGATCTTCTTCCGACTCTCCTCCAGAGCTTGCCGCAAGTCCCTGACTTCTTGTTGGAGCCCATCTATTCGGGCCGCCACTTGTTTCGTCTCAGCAGCGCTCGGTCTACGGCGTGAGAAGAAATGTCGACCGCTGGAGCTAGCCTTGCGGATCCAGGTTTCATCCTCAACATTGGCATTATTATCAACAGGATTTCCCCCTACAAGTGAATCTATCCTAACCCTCTGAGCAGTCGTCGAGTCAACTGACAAGACAACCACCTCAACAGGTTAGCATCGACAATGCCTACCTCTGCTACGATCACTAGATCCAACGGGCGATGCAATCGAGAGAAAGGCTGTATCTGCGGGGAACAAAACATGACGACAGATGAAGCGCCTGTTAGCTGTGTAGAAAAATATGCACATGGTCAACTACAATTGTTGGTGATAATATGAAAAATTCTGGGAAAAATTTAGGAGGAATTCTCATTGGTTTCTGTACACTTCTACCCAAATTCGTATATGAACTTCTATAATCAGTGAGGAAACTCCTGAACTCAGCAGCTGAGGAAAGCGAACATATATTCCTCCAACACCGTTTCTCAACATACTCGAGGGTGTCCAGGAAGATCCCACAGCCGTTTGGAAAGTCTCCTCAGTCGCATGAGAAACGGTGGTATCTGTGAAGAAATAAAATTGATGGAGTTTTCGAGCGGACATACCCCCAAATGAGCATGTCCGGCCGCTCGCAGCCTTGTCGGCAGATCCATCTCTTCTGAATGGTACCGGTCGCGACTCTGGTGGTGGAGGGTAGCTTGCTGGAGGAGTGGCTCGAGTATTCATAAAATGCATGGAGGCTCCTAATATGGAAAGGTTAAAATGCCGCCTCCGGGGATCGAACCTGCGACCTCCACACTATTACGCTGGTAAACATCTGGAGTCGCGAATATAGTGCGTAAGGCCTCAGTGGCCATTGCGTCGGTTTGCCGCTTACTAGGCAGACCCGCGCCACGACAATTAAAACAACCGGCGGGACTACTATCAGTAGTGGTAGTAGACAACGACGACGACCCTGTGAATGTTAGTAGTAGAGATTTGTCACGCGCCACGAAATTCCCCCCTTACCTGCTGCGTCTCCTTTAGACGTATCACTGGCATCGCCATCATTTAGACCGAACTACAATATCAAGTGAAGAAAAGAATCTTCCGGTGACTCACATTAGGAGAGAGGTCCAGTCCTCCTTCGAGTTTACTCGACGACTTCCGAACCTAAGATATTTATCGTGCCCGCACGCATGCACATGACTAACCTCCCTGGATTCCGTTCTCTCTGGCGATACTTCCGCTCGATCGGAAGTCGGTGACATGAAATTAGAAAATCTACAAAGACACTCAGTGAGGGAAAATATGTACATGGTCAACTATATGTGGTGGTGACATTTGCCGAAATCCTGAGAAAAATTCTCATTGGTTTTTGTACACTTACACCCGATTTCGTAGGTAAATTTCTGAAATTTATGAGTAAATACCTGAACTTAGCTGAGGAAAGCCGACATATATTCCAACACTGGAGGGAAAATACGTACATGGTCAACTACATGTGTTGGTGACCACATGAAAATTCTGAGAGGAAATTTTGGAAAATTCCCATTGGTTTCTGAACATTTCTACCCGAATTCGTCTACAAACTTCTATAATTAGTGAGGAACCTCCCAAGCTCAGCTGA